GAGGTGAGGCTTGCCCTGCTCTTAGCATTCTGCTTATATTGACAGACGTCATCCTGTAGCTTGACCTGGTGGACATCATCATTCCATTTCCTTTTTCTGTGTGTGTGGGAGGTGTACATGTTCACACAAGTGCATGTGTGTGTGTTTGAAAGCCAGAGGTTGATGGTGGGTGTTTTTCTTTATCATTCTCCACTTTATATTTTGAGATAGGGCCTCTCACTGAACCTAGAGCTCACCAATTCATCGAGGATGGCTGGCCAGCAGGGATCTTCCTGTCACAGAGCTCCCTTCACTGTGATTACAGACATGTGTCACAGTGCTTGGCTTTGATGTGGGTGCTAGGCTTCCTCATGCTTGCACAGCTGGAGCTTTGCTGACTGAGCTATCTCCTCAGTCTATGTCATCCTATTTTCTAAGTGAGGAGACTGAAGCCCAGGAAAGCTAGTGCTTTGCCCAAGGTGGCAGGCATCTGCAGGAGTTTGGCTCCCAAGACCAGAATTTTAATCACTGTACCATGTGACCTCAGCAGAGTGTGACTGTGTTGGGTAGTTTTTATGTTCACCTGACACAAACCAAGACATATCCGGGAAGAGAAACCTCAGTTAAGAAAATGCCTCCATCAGAACACCTGTAGGTATGTCTTTAGCAAATTTTCTTGATTAATGATTGATGTGGGAGGGACCAGCTCACTGTGGGTAGTGCTACCCCTGGGCAGGTGGTCCTGGGGCGTAAAAGAAAGCAGGCTGAGCAAGCCATGAGTAACAAGTCAGTAAGTGGCATTCTGCCATGGCCTCTGCTTCAGTTCCTGGCTTGACTTTTCTCAGCGATGGAGCATGATCCGAAAGTGTAATATGAAATAAACCCTTCCCTCATCATGCTTTCGATAGTTTTTAATCACAGCAATAGAAACCCAACTAAGACAGGGGTCAGTCATACTATTGAAAGAGGCTTGGACTCAGTTTGAAAAGCTAACAAGAGTCAGGAACACTAGCTTAGGAAGCAGTGCCACAGCCATAAGCCTGACCTAGATAGGGCAGGAATCACTGTATTCTGCTCATGACACAGAGCAATGACTGTGGCCCAGAGAGGTGAAGACATGCTGCCAGCCTCCATGTGCTTCTGCCCATGGAGCCAGCCTCATGGGCAAGCAGGTCGGCAGGCTGGTACAGGCACAGGAATTCTGAGGTACCCAGAATGGTGTGTGCTTGACCCGGTGGCTGGCACGAAAAAGCAACCTCAGATTTTAATGCTAGGCTCCTAAGCTTTGGGGATTCTAAAAGAAACAATTTAAGAGCCTCTGCTATGAAAATGGGAAAAGTCATTAAAATTTTATGCTTTCATATTTTTAGACTATATCGATATTTTCTTATAATAGTTACTTTAAAGTCAGAAAGTGAATTTGAAAGAATCCTTACAGATGACTTGCTCATTTAAAGTAAACCCTTTGGATACAGCACACCACTGCTCCCACCCCCTGTAAAACAACAATACGACACACTTGAAGCTCTACTTTATAAGAATTGGAAGTGAATTGAGGTAAGAGGATTAGACATTCATATGTTGACTGAGGGAAGGTGGGTGTCTTAATAGAAAAAGGGGCAGGAACAAAGCAAACCTCAGAGAAATGTTCCACACAACACTAAGACTCCAGCCCAGTATTTAACTATGAACCCACAGAGAACTATGGGGGAACTGGCCTCTGTGGGTGACTACAGGATGGGATGGTTACCCAGCTTTTTTTCTTGATCCAATTCCATCACCCAGATCAGTGCCTGGCCCTCAGTAGTTACTCTATAAATATTTGTTAAATAGATATTAACTAGGAGGAATTACAGAAAGACGTAAAAATTATCAGATACAAAATTCTAGGGGCTGGAAAGATGGCTCAGTAGTTAAAAGCATTTGTTGCTTTTTCAACGAGCTGGAGCTCAGCTCCCCGCACCTATGTCTGGTGTTTATAGCTGCCTGTAACTCCAGCTCCAGAGGATCTGACGCCCTCTTCTGGTCTCCCTGAGTACCTGAACACACATGACATACACTCACATAGACATGTACACACACACACACACACACACACACACACACACACACACACACACACAAATAAAAATAAATCTTAACCAAAAAAGAAGCAAGCTAGGTAGGTCTGAAGAGGAGAGAGAGAGAGAGAGAGAGAGAGAGAGAGAGAGAGAGAGAAAGAATAAGTTCAGTGGTTAAGATCACCGGCTGCTCTTCCAAAGGTCCTATATTCAATTCCTATCATCTACACAGTGGCTCACAACCATCTGTAACTCCAGTTCCAGGGATCTAATGCCTTCTTCTGGCTTCCACTCCCACCAGGCATGCAAGTATGACACAGATGACACAGACAGACATGCAGGTAAAACACCCGTGCACATAAAATAAAAATTATAAGTAACAAACAAACAAACAAACAAAAAACAAATGCTTCATTAAGAATAGCACCCAAAAGATAAAATACTTAACAATTAGTTTGGGCAAGGCAGTACAAGGCCTGTATACTGAAAACTAAAAACAAAATATTGCTGACTGATGAAATAATGAATAAATAAAGTGAATAAAAGGGAAATTACCCATGTTGATGGGCTAGGAGAGTTACTAGTTCTCATCCATCCATCCATTCATTCATTCATTCATGTATTTATCTATCTTCTATCTACCTATGTATTTATTTATCTATTTATTTTGTTTTTTCGAGTAAGGGTTTTTCTGTGTAGCTCTGGCTGTCCTGGAACTCGCTCTGGAGACCAGGCTGGCCTCAAACTGGTAGAGATCCACCTGCCTCTGCCTACTGACTGCTGAGATTAAAAGCCTGTGCCATTATCACCTGGCAAGAGTGACTATTAGGATGTATTTAACTGCTACAAAAGCTAACAAAAAAGAAAAAAAAAGAGAAAAGAATGAAAGGAAAAAAATCCACAGGGTCATCCTAAAAGTCATATAAATTTATAAGAGATTCAAAACAGCCAAAACAATTTTGAAAAATAACGAAGTTGGAAGACCTTGAATTTATGAAGCCATGCAATGGAACAGAGTTGAATGTCCAGAATAAACTGCTGTACTCATCACCAGTGGATTCTGATAGCAGTGCCTGGACTGTAGGATGGAGAAAGAAGACTCTTTCATAAACGGTGCTTAGAAAAATGGATTGCCTTGTGCAAGAGGGTGATCTGGCTCCTCTCCTCAAAACACAGGCATTGGTGTCTTATTTTTTATTGCTGTTATCAGATACCACGGCCAAAGCAACTTATAAAAGAATGTGTTTAGCTTGGGGGCCTATAGTTTTAGAAGGTTAGATCATCACCGTGGGGAACATGGCAGCAGATGGCAGGCATGACACTGCAGCAGCAGCTGAGAGCTCACATCTAGATCTACAAGCACGAGGCAGAGTGAAAGCTCATTGGGAATGGCAAAGCCCACCCTCAGTGACACACCTGCCCCAATAAGGCCACACCTCCTAATCCTCACCAAACAGTTCCACCAACTGGGGCCCAAGAATTTAAACATATGAGCTAGCTAATAGGGGACATTCTCATTCAAACTATCACAATTAGCTAAGTTGGACCCAAAACCTAAATTTTAAGAGCCCAAACTACAAAATCCTTAAGGGGAACACAGGAAAAAAATGTCTGTGCCATTGGGTTAGTGTGCTGGTTTCAACTTGACACAAAGTAGAGCTGCCCAGGAAGAGGGAACCTCAACTGAGTAATAGCTTCCCATCAGACTGGCCTGTAGGAATGATGTGGAGAACTTTTGTGATTAGTCCCACTCTTGGGCAAGTGGGCCTGGGTTACATAAGAAAAGTAGACAAGGAAGCCAGGGGAACAAGCCAGTAAGCAGCACTCCTCCATGGCTTCTGCTTCAGTTTCTGCCTCCAGGTTATCGTCTTGAGTTCCTGACCTGGCTTCTCTGGACTCTGGCCAAATAAGCTTGTTCCTTCTCCAAGCTGCTTTTGATCATGCATTGTGTTTATCACAGCAACAGAGAGCAAACTATGACAGCCAATTTATATGTATTGATACCAAAGAACAAACAAGAGAAACAAGATAACTGGGTCTCGTTACAAAGTTCTGTACATGAACACAACCTACATGTACAGAGAAAAATATTTTTAAATCATATACATGATAAGAATTCCTACAACTCAACGACACAAATTCAAGGAACCCAATTTTAAAAATAGGCAAAGGACTTGAACAAACATCTCCCCAAAGAATATACACAAATGAACAACAAGACTTGAAGAGATATTTAACTTCCTTCATCATCAGGGAATTGCAAATCAAAACCGCAGATACCGCTTGACACCCACAAGGATGGTTATCAGCACAGAGAAAAGTAAATAGCAGCACTAGGGAGGAGGTGGGTCCCACTTCCTTGACACTGGTGAATGCATAACAGTGCCAAGAGTCAGATCCAGCAATTCCACACCTAGGTTTAAAGTTGGGAGAAATGAAAACCCATGTCCATGCACAAGAATGTTCCTACAAGCCCAATTCGGAATGGCTAGATGGTGAAACTAACCCGCGTTTCCATCAACCAGTGACCAACAAGGAACGGTATGCTGCCCAGTGGAGTATTATTTGGTCAAGAAAGCAATGAATTCTGATATATACTATGCCATAGATCGATCTTGAAAATAATGCTGAATGAAAGAACCCACACATTGTATGCTTTCATTTATAGGAGATGTCCAAATGGAAAAATTCAGAGACAAGAAGTAAACTGGAGGTAGGCAGGGGTACAGGGTGGGAAGTAACGGGAGCAACTACTGTAGGTACAGCCTTTGCTGAGGGGTGAGGTGTTGTGGCATTAAATGGGACCATTGTACAAGACACGTCATGAATGTACAGAAGTTACTAAACTTGAAATGATTATGATAGGAATTGTATTCCCACAAGACAAAGAAAGACTTACCAGCAACACTGCTGTTAAGGTTGAAACATAAAAGAGGTTGTGAAATCCTGAGAGCCACTGACCTTGTTTCTCTGGGTTTCGGACCTGAGATGGTATATCCTGAATTTCCAGAGTCCATTCCCCTTCAGCCTTTTCTCCCCAGCAGTGGACGGTCATGAATTCCCAGTTCGTGAACCCTTCATTGGAAAAGTCCAGCAATCTGCAATAGGAAATGCCACGTTAGAAAGTGAAGGCTCTGTCTGGGGAGCCTTCTGGGGACAGAAGGGGCAGCTCCAGGAGGACTCTGACCCACCCACCTGAGGGCAGAGGTCAGCTCTCTCCTTCTACCATGCAGGTTCCAGGGAACCGAGTTCAGGTGGGCCTGTAGGCAGGTGCCCTTATCCACTGACCCATCTAGCTAGCCCTGTTTTCAAAGTCTTACAGCTGAAGTCCACCTCCATCACCTCACAGGACAGGACCTTCCTATATTTGGTGAGGCATGGTGCCTCAAGTGCCCAACAACAACCGAGGACTGGTCCGTGTGTCCCCCTGGGAGTGGTCTGGGGAGGAGGAAGAGAAGGCTTTCTGTACACACTCCAGATGGAGCTCCCCCACTCTTTGGAGGTTTGATGTCTCCACTAGCCCCTGGACCTTAAGCCTCTCCCATTTTTCATACTTAGTTCAGACAGAAACAGAAGAAACTGTTAACACTAATTTCCTCTTCTTGCAATGCTGTGGGATTGAACCAAGACCCTGTGCATGCCAGGAAAGCAGCCTACCACTGAGCTACATCCCCAGCCCTTTTAACTTATGCATTTCTGTTTGGGGATAAGAATTTGCATGCAGGACTGGACTCTTCTACTGTTCATCAGAAGTTAATATGGATGATCTGTTCCACTCTGCCTCGGAGGCTCCTTGAACACTGGAAACAGCATGATGCCGTGCAAAGGAACAGTCTTTACAGTAGGAACAGTGCTAAGAAACTGCCAAGGTCAAGGTTGACTTTCACACAAAGCCAGGAGGAACCTGACACATTGGGGCTAAAACAAGGACAAACTGTTTTGTCGATGCTGAGGCCCTTAGGAATGCCAACTTTCAATGTTAAAAAAAAAAAATACCCCCCCCCCACAAAAACCTGGCAAGCTGAAATGCCTGCAGAGCCCAGTAAGATGTGAAGTAAGGTAGAAGTAACGGATCCCCAAACCACAATCTTGATATCATGCACAGACTCTTGGCAAAACACCAAATCCCCAAGACTGCCAGGTGGCCTCAGGGCGGTGCTTTCAAGTGCTTACAGGCACTCCTAGCAACTGGGGAGTTCCAAACAAACCCACAGGACCTGCTCTGGGTTGCAGGGAGTTCAGACACCTGGGCTGATAGAAGAAGATGAGTGACAGGTTGGAGGAGAAGGAAAGCAAGGTTGGCAGCGGGCCTGTTGGATGCTGGAAGGATTTTACAGGTCAGAGGGCTCGATTGATTTCAGGGGGACATGAACAGTAGCCAAGAGTTTTCCTCTAATATCATATTTGGTTCTTATAATATTCTTAATGTTCATGGGTAAGTGGAATGGCATATCCAGATGAGGAATGAGGAGAGGCCAGCTGCCCTGCTCCCAGAAGGAACCGGGTGGGCTGTGCAGAGGCTGGAGCATAAACTTACCTCTCCAGGCTCCAAAGCACGAGCTGTGTATCCACTGTATCTCCCCAGCCTACCACCTGCTCCCAGTCCCTGGTCCCTGTGCTTCCCTGTGGCCTCAAATACCCACACCAGAATCTCTCAGGCAAGCTTCACCTCGGTGGAGTTCACAAAGGGGTCACAAACTCTGATGCTTCCAGGTGTAAGCACAGCTGGGAGTAGATGGAAGCTGGCTCTAACACAGGGCAGGGGGCAGCATGGGTTACCTTGAGGAAGACTTGCCCCCCACTAGGCTCTAGCATGGAGCAGGCATCATGGGGTACCCTGAGCAGACCTGTCCCCACTAGGCTGTAGCCAGGCTGTGCTACTACAGTGGGTTCAGAGATCACAAACTTCCAAGTTTTCAGTAAATGCTAGAATTGTAGATCTTTAGACAAAATTTTTAAAATGGGGAAGCAAAATGCCTTCAAGCTTCAGCTTGCTGGCTGGCACCTTCAAACCACATGTGCTCCATATGGTCTCCTGCATGCAGAGGCTGAGCAAGGCTGAGTGTGGCTGAATGTGGCTGAGGTGGCCTTCAGGAGAGGAGATACCTCCTTCTGCTAGGAAAGTGGGAGCTGGTAGGGGCTCCTGGAACCCATCCATTACAGTTGTTCTAGGGTTGACTCAACTGTCCTGAGGACAAAGCTGATGCCAGCCCATGGCCTGCTGCTTGCTGCCCATCTGTGGGCTGCAGATAATGGAAGTCACATAAAGGGGTGGAGGCACAGAACAGACTCCCTCTTCTTGGGACAGTGGTCCTGGCAACCTTTCATTGCTCTTTGATAGCTGTCTTATGCAAGAGGAGTGGTCAGAGGGTCAAGAAAAATGAATCCTGCCTGGCTTGTGTATGAGCATTTCCCATATACCTTGCTTCCCAATCTCCCAGGCTCCCTATATTCCAGGTAAGGGCTACAACAGGCAGGGCACACCTAGTCGTAGGTGCTTCCTCAAGGGCTGAAGAACACATGCACGTTCTAGAAATACTGGTTTGTCTGTGACCTCTGAAAGGGACAATATGTGCCCTAGCAATCCCCAAGTTCCCTCAGGTTCCTAAAAATGCCTCTGCTCTATTTACCTGAAAGCTATTAAAGTTCACCCAAGCACTAGCCTTCATGCTGTAACTGCACTCAAGCCATAACCGCACAGCACAACCTTCCACAAACCCTGCAGGAACCTGAGGAAGCTCCAGCAGCCCCAAATTGGAGCTCAAGCCTTTGCAGGGGGGAGGCTGTGGAGAAGAGCCTGGGAACCCTCCCTGTACATCACCAGCCACTCATGGAACTGGGTGGGGATGCTCCCAGAGAAAAACAAACCTTGGGGGTACTTAAGTGCCGACTGAACAGGATGGTCACGACCTTTAATGCACTTCCAGGAGCAATGGGGACATAACATGAATGCTACCCTCACAGCACCCCCAGTGACAGGCTACAACTCCTATCACTTTTTCTTGAAGATTAAGGTTTCACAGGTCTGTTTCAAAGACCCTGGTCTGCTCTTCAGGGTTATGTGGGTCCTGCCTGTATAGACCCAGAGAGAACTCCCACTTCCCTGTGCAGGGTACTTTGCAGAATGGATAGGGCCTTCATGAGGGGCATATCCTAGAGAGAGTGGCCTTACCTCTTTGCCAAAAGTTGAGACTTGGTTCCAGAGGGAGAAATCAGGTGGATCTGGAGGTCTCCCCGGCGTGGGTGTGAGATAGAGATGCGAGCTACCACATGCTCCAGGTAGACCACTCGCTGGTCTGAGTGGTCGGCACAGGCATTGGTCAGGGCCGTAGTCCGTAGCACCTGCACTATGGGGATACTCCTGGAGAGGAAAAACAAGCACAGTGCTGTGTATCCAAGTCTTAGTCTCCCACAAGGAGGGCCATGGATTCCAGAACCCCAGTCTGTTCCTCCCCTACTATGGCTTCTAGGTTCTGGGAGTCTTCAGTGGGTCACAGTGGTCTGACTTGGGTGCTCCATTTTGACTACTGCTCAGGAAACTTTGTAGTTCTAGAATTTGTTTATGGGTCTTCATGCACACTTGGGGCCAATGTATCTGGAGACCTTCCTTTTGGTACCCCGAAGGTACCTCTCTTTAAATAGCATGTGGCCGGCTCCCTCTTTCAAGAGCTTGAAGATTACAAGGCTTTATCCTTGGAGATAGCATCATGAATGCTGATCACCTAGCACAAGGCACTGTCCGGAAAGCTTACAAAGATTAAGGCATCCATTCAGGGTGAAGGAAGGACTGCCCTCAATGTCATGCAGCTCCCGAGAGGCAGAGCTTCCCTCTCTGTGCCATGTCTCCTTGGGTAGACCCACAGTCAAGAGCTCGAATTTGCTGCAGCCGATCTGTTTCCAGTCATCCTGCTGGAAGACTGCCAAGCCATTGCCCCATGAAGGAAATGAATGATGGCACTTTCACAACCCAATGGCCCTTCTGTCACATGAGATGGAAGATGAGGGCAAGCACATCTCAGGTCACTCAAAAATCATTCCCACCAGATTTTGGAGGTGCCAAACCTGGTGCCCCACAGCCTGCTTTCAGGGCTCACATCTCTAAAAGCTTGGCCCCCTCCCTACCAATTTGTAAACAGAATAAAGATGGCATCCTTTGGTAGAATCCTGATTGCCACCCAATAGCACGTTAGTAATTCCCTGCTACATGGCCTGGGCTGGGTTTATTATAGGAAGGCTTTTCCCTCTGTGCAGGGTTTCACTCCAATGTGTGCTTGGAGTCTCTTAGGAATGGTATCTCTGGGCTCTACAGAACCAGAGTCACAAGAAAGCATTCAAAACAGCTAGAAGGAGTGATGTAATGCCCCTGGGACTCTGTAAAAATTTGAAAACCACACTTGGCATGTACCATAAATTGACTTAGAGGCTGGCTTCTTTCATCACTTTCTTCAGGTTTTACTGTCTGGGTTTACTGGTCAGGGGCCCCACCAATGTGGCAGATCCAGGATAGAGCAGAAAGTTCCAAAGAGGCCCAGGCCTTGCAGGGCTCACATAGAGGGCCCACATACCCTACCAGGTAGTGTTCACCTATAGCACCCAGCCTATGTACTCAAAATGCAAATGTGTTGTGACAAGGGGCTCCTTAGCAAAGGTGGGCAAACAGGGTCGACAGTGCCCCTCCAGGACTTCAAAATGTGATGTCACAAGACCCAGGACTGACCTCACTCTTGACCTGCTAACACTTCCCCAAGTAGAATAGCAACATCAAGGCAAACAAAGTCCAGATCACTATTAAAGCACTGTTCTCTCCTTCAGCCTTTTGCTAACTGTTGGAGACAGCAATCCCCATACTCTAGAAATAGACTTGGAACCCTACGGAAACCTGGATCCCAAGGATAAGGACACAAGATTTAAGTGAATAGGAGTATGATGAAGAAAACACAGCTAAACATCAGTCACCTGGCAAATGCCTCACAGCTATAGCTCGGGGCTCAATGCACCCAAATCTAGAGGAAAAACTCATTTCACTCAGCCTCACTAGTCTTAGCGTGACGGCTGAGGGAGAGGAATCTGGGCTGGTCTCCCCCACAGGGAGCCACCCTGCTGCTGTGACAGGAGGGTGGGTTGGTGGGCAGTGCAGCCCCTGAAGGAATTAATGGCGTCTCCTGTCTAGGTTTTCACAGCCAAGATATTAAACTCCACTGGGGTTGGGAACCAGCCTGCCTGGGGCACAAAGCTAACTGTAACAATTAGTTTTTATGTGAAATCTCTTAACTGTGAAATCACTCAGTTAGCCACCAGGACTCCTCATTCCTGCAAGTTCCAGGGGAGGCTGGTAGCTGGGATGCTCCTCCATGCACGGGCAAGGTGTTTGTTGTCCTCCTCCCTGGGCTTTACAGCTGCTGCTGCAGCAGCAAATAACCTAACACTCCAAACAAAGGACTCTTGCATTTCTTAATGAAAAGCAAAAAGAATGAGGCTTTGAAATGGTCAAAACATCCAAGCTGCAACTGTCCTGGCTTTGGATAAAAACTCCAAGTCACAGAGCCAAGTGCTAAAAGCCATTACTTGTAAGATTCGCTTAACTCTGAGACAGAAACTAAAAGAGCTCATGAAAAGGATAGAGCTTAAAAAAAAAAAAAAAGGGAATTATTCCCTACCCTGCAATCACTGCAAAGACAATACAGAACATTTAAGTTAACTGTAAATTTAATTTTTACCTTGGTTTAAAGATTCACAGGGTCTATACTTGTCACATGTATCCTGTTCTTTAATCATGAAAATTGATTTAAAGTCTCAGACTGCAAAGGCTTTTCTGCAATTAAATTTTGAAGTTGTTGTCTTGTATGGAGTCATCTTCCCTGAGTGTTAGAGGAACTCAATGAATTAAAGGACCAGCCTTTGCTTAACTGAGGGACACTGGGGACTTGGATGAGAGCCCTAATGACACAGACATGCCACTTCCCATCAACTGATTACGCTTCTCCAGATGTCCTCCTTGCAGCCTTAAGTATCTGGACCCACTCCATTCCAAGGAGGCAGAGGGCTCCCAGATGCTAGCCATCATAACGAGCCACTACCTAACCACCCACACCACTAATATGGTGGCTTCCTAGTTTTTCCCAGCGTATAAAAACTTCTAGTTTTCTGACACTTGTGACAGAATAATATTCAAAGTCAAAGATAAATATCTTCAAGTAACTATGTAGCAGGGACAATCAGAGGAAGGCACACCCCTGTCAGAAATCCTCTCTCTCTGGGGCCTCCTGACTCTCCATTTACATTTTGCTCCAGTCAAGAAGCTACTACAAGCCATGATTTTCAGTTTCACCCTTAACACTTCACTCCAGTCCCTGTACCCTTTCGTTGGCAGGTCAGTTCTCACTCCAGCTCCTGCATCCTTGCATTAGCAGGTCAGTCCTCACTCCAGCTCCTCACTCTGGCTCCTGCACCCTTGCATTGGCAGACCAGTCCTCACTCTGGCTCCTGCGCCCTTGCATTGGCAGGCCAGTCCTCACTGGCTCCTGCACCCTTGCATTGGCAGGCCAGTGCTACCTTTCTACTTGGCAGAGCTAGGGGCAAGAACTGGCTAGCTCCTGTTTCTTATCAGCCAATTCTGAAATCATTTTTGGGATACTCATGGGAATGAAGAGATAACAGAGTCCTTCCCTCTGGTATATTTGGCATCTGGATGGGGAAGAAGGTGCAGCTGACCCACTGGGACCATAGAGAAGAAGCTGGTCTAGGGAATGTTTTCGATCACCTTCTAAAGAGTACTAAGTGGGTAGGTGAGAGCATTCACTGGAGTCCACATTCTAAATCCAAGTATGGGAAAACGGTTCAGTGGGTCACCTCCTAGATCTATGTTCTAGAGTTAATGCCATCAGCTGAATCATCTCCAGTAAAGATCATTTTGCTAATGACATATGATATATCACATGAGTGAGTATATATTTTGGGCTGGGGGAAGGTTGAGACAGGGTCATATGTAACTGAGGCTGACCTTGAACCAACAATTTACAGGAGGATGACCTTAAACTCCTGATCTTCCTCCACCTCCTGAATGCTGGGATTATATCCCCAGCTAGATGAAATTACTTTTGATTATTAAACCACAGCATTACGTTTAGGCTATAAATAAAATTTAGCAACAAAAATGAAGCTATTCTAACTAACTTAGATCTAAATAACTTAATCCATAATTAATTGTTCTGTAAGCACACAATGTATATTTGTAGCACACCTTTCTTTTCTATGTCCGGTGCTAACAACAGTCTGAGATTCAGTCTGATAGGAAGTTAAAACAGAGATTAAAGCCCACTGTTCTTATTATGAGTTTATCTTTTTGCCTGCTCGCTAGGAGTTACTTGTATGCTCAAGTTCAGGACTCAGGGCACCTTTGTGGCCATTTGTGAGCATTCGCAGAGCAGCAAGGTTTGAGTCACCCAAGGCGCCTCCCAGCTGAGGTCAGGCCAGGCCATGCTTGGCTTCTTGTTTCCGCTCTCATGCTGTAAGGAGGCTCCATTTCACACTTTCTGTCATGGTGTGCTTTCCACGTGTAGGCTTTTTTGTTGGGGCTTTGCTTTTTTCAAGCCCCAACCCCGAACACCTCAAACTCAGGCTGAGGCATTGTCTAATGCTCCTGGACCCCCAAGGGGGGCGATGTGTTTTTTAGGAAAATAGAGGCACTGTATTCAGTTCAGGCACAAGTGAAGGTGCCAGAGGCTCCGAGTTAGATATCAATGAGTCAACAACAGTCAGTAAGAAAAGGCATCTTTAACCAGCAATCCATACAGTGAAACTGTCACCCATTATCTGTCATCCACAGACATCCAGAGAGTGTCATAAGCCGTGTGGCTTAGTGGAATCCCAGAAATAACAAAATACAGAAAAGGGAGGATGCAATTAACCTAGAGGCAGTTCTAGACAGATATCTATGAATTGATCATCTACTGTATAGATCACCCTCAATGTTCATCAAAGGAGGGAGGGAGGGAGGAGAGAGAGAATAAGAAGCTTGAAATAAAAAGACAGGTCAATGGGAATGAAATTCTGAATGGGAATCTTCAAAAGAGGCAAAACTTTGAGACCCACAGGTACTGCTCTCATGCTCTCTGCTGCCTTAGCTGACTCTTTTGTTCCTGTCGCCTCTACACCATCAAGTTGGGAGCCGTGAATGCTACAGACCTCTCAGCAGAAGTCTGGATATTTTAAAATGCATGGAAGTACTGGCCAGAAAAACCCAGTGGGTCAACTGTGATTTTAATGATTCAAAGGAATTATACTAAGCTTGGTTTTCTTTTTCACTTGAGTAGAAGCTATGAATGGATTCATTTTACCCACTTCTCCATGGAAATCCAAAAGCCACTCTGCACAGGTAGGAGTCACTGCTTATGATGCTACTTACCATCCCTTCATGGAAGAAAGGCTCCAAATAAATTAAAATTACTTATCTCCAGAGCAGGGAAGGATGCCTTTCAACCTACACTGTGCTTGGTTATCACAGGAGCAGTGATCCAGGCCACACCTAGGTTTTCATCCAGTAACACCCACAGGATGCTGAAGCAGCCTCTACTTGTCCTCGAGGTTCAAGTGATTGTCCCTCGTTCTTACATTTAGAGTTAGCATCTGTAGAATATTGTCCATGACAGCCTTGCACTGTGGCTCCTGCAGAGGAAGCCTTGGTTCTAGTCCTGGCTATTGTAGTTCTTGGGGGACAGTGGGCTATAGTGCCTGCTCAGCAAGGTCTAGTAAGACCAGAGGTCCTGCTTCTTTGGCTGTCACTGAAGACACTCTTCCTGTCATCCTCTCTCCTGATGGGTTCCCCGGCCTTAACCTGTGGAACTTCTATGTAAAGCCAAGTGTCCCTAAACATTCAGGGTCTAGATTAGTAGACTAGATACTTTGGCCAGTCCTTTTCTATACCAGACTTCTCTTCAGATTACGGATAACCAAGGATAGCTTTCTCCTGGAAAGGGAGGTGAAGTCCTGCATCTGTTGTGACTGTCATCATAGGTGGAGCCACATACTCCAGCCCTTCCCACTCCTAGCTGTTGGCCTCTTGGCTCCTTTCAGCCTGGACTAACCATTCAGGAGCTGTGGCACACCAGCTAGGTGGCATGGGAGAAAACCGTGCAATACAGGGATGCCAGGGGCTACTGAGTGCCAGTGCCAGGTGGTTATTTGGGGCATAGTGACATGATGCCAGTTTCTAAGCAAGGCTGGGCATGCAGGAAGGCTCAGTAGCAAGGAGAGCCCTTGTCAGTCACTGTCCTTGTCAGTGAGACTGTCATAGGACCTACCATGTTGTGGAGAGGAATGTGTCCCATTCAGGGCTGTGACAGGGGTTGCTGTCCTACATGACCAGAGTGATGGATGCCCCATTGTCACCCTAGTCACCCTAACTCAGGACCCCATACAGCATCACCCTAGACACAGCAGGTACAGTCATAATGTCTTCCAGACCCTGTACTTAAAGGCTAGGAAACAGACTTTGGTCACAGCAGGGCAAGGGAAAGGCAGGTAAACATGCCCCACACAATATGCACTGTTATACACACAGATATACCCATCTCCTCCCCCACCTGTCCCCTCCCTCTCCAGTTCTCTCTCCCCCCTCTTGCTCTCTGGCTCTCACTGTTTGTCTAGCCACAGGAAGCAGCTGAGGCCAGATTTCAGACATAAAGACCTAGGAGTCCACCAGGAGAAGAAGAACTCAGAAGGAGGCAGAGAGCAGTCCATGGGTCTGAAAGGCTAGGAGAGGATAAAGCAGACATATGGGAAACTTCCTGTCCCTTTAAAGCCAGGTGACCTCAACAGAGCAAAGCCCGGTGTGGGCAGCATGCAGCCGAGAGATGGGGGTCAGAAGTCCAGGTGAACCCCCCCCTTCTGTAGCCTGGTTGCTGCAGAGCTGCAGCTCCACAGGAGTCGAAGACACACTGGTAGTGAGGAGAGATCTGCCCCTGCCCCAGGTGACACTGCTTCCTCTGAAGGCCCTTATGTCCTTGGAACAATGAAGCATAGGAGCTGGGCAAGCGGTCTGAGACAGAAGGTTAGCTGGAAATTCCAGACAGAGTCAGAAACAGCAAAGGGGGAAGAGGAGTTTCCTTTGGAAACAGAAGTCCGATTCTTGCCCCCTTTTGGAGTTTGTAGGGGGCCTTACTTTCCTCAAAGGATAGGAACAATGTCATACTGTATGTTAGTGTGAGTTCCTTCAACCTATGCTGTCTAGACTCTGTGTGCTTTCACTCAGAAAACAAAATAAAACAAAAATAAAAACAACCACTCGCCACCTAGGCACCACTCGATCATCTTAAACAGATTTCTGGCAGGAAAAGAATGCTTCATTCAGGAGTTGCCCTCCCTGGGAAGCTGGGTGGGAGGGAAGTGGGTAACACCACAGGTCAGGGACCAGAGCAAGAGACAGGCTCGCCTAACCTGTGTAGCAGGCAGCTCCCAGCAGAGGAAGTCAGCACAGGCAAAGGCCCTTTATCCCAGAGTAGCCCCCTCCTTCTGAGGGTTAGCACAAAAGCTTTCTAAAGGAAATGAGGCCTTAGGAAACCAACAGTCAGACCTGCTCCCTGGCTGGTAGGCCTGTCTGGTTGTAGAGTGATGGCTCCAGGACTCAGTGGGTACAATTAGCCACATGGTGGAAACTTGTTTCAAAAGGTCCTTCAATGACTATTCATCCTGCAAATATTCTCTGAACTCCCACAGTTTTCAAGGCATGCTCAAGAAACACAACTCTCAATCTTTTGTGGCAAAAGAACTTAATATAAGAGGTGTACATGTTCATGGAAGTAGTGAGCTCAAAGATGTGGGTCTACATTTGTAGTTAAAACAATGTAGCCTACTTTCTCTTCGTGTGTGTGTGTGTGTGTGTATGTGTGTGTGTGTGTGTGTGTGTGTGTGTGTGTGTGTAAGCCAGAGGCTGACTTAAATGTCTTCCACTATTGCTATCCACTTTATCTTTTGAGACAGGGTCCCTCTCATTAAACCCAGAGCTCACCGATCACCTGGACTAGCTGGCCAGCCATTTCTGGATAGCCTTTTGTCTCCACTTCCCAGTGCTAAGGCTACAGACATGTGCTGCCATGACCAGCTCATGTGGCTCTGGTTGTCCAAACTCAGTTCTGCAGGCTCGTGCATCAGATGCTTCACTGACAGAGCCATCCCTGGCCCCTGTTTTAGCCCCCTGCTCAGGGCCTGTTTAAGCATTCCAGCCTTAAGAAGGTGTATAGGCCTGGACAAAAACAATGCAGAGATGCTGTGTAGTCCATGAGCCCACACACCCCAGCCTGCAACAGAGAAGAGGCAGACCCCATTTCTCTTGTACAATACAAGCTCTAGGGCAGTGGAGCTGGGCTATGGTGCTAACCTCTAGCAGGTGGAACAGAAAAGACCCTGTGGCTGCTGCTCTTACATCCTGTGGGCAAAGTAGATCCCTAGTCTGGTTGGCTATGATAAACCAATGGATGAGAATTTCCAATACCAGGCCAAGAGATTCAGACTGAGAAACAGACCCCCTACACTGGCATCATCTGCTACAATAGGACAGGAGGCCTCTAAACAGTAGCACATCTAGAGGGGCATCTTCTCCTAGCTGCACAATATGTAAGAGAAAATTCAGGCATATTACAGATGGGCACCACCCATATAATCCTTCCTGTCTGTGTGCATAGAGACTTAGGACTGAACACCTTCCCTTCCATCCTTGCTGCAGAACCAGGTCTCGGGTACCTTAGAAGTGATCAGAGAAAGAGCAGAGCCTTACCTGGGCCTTTTGTCTGCAGTGGCCACACACATGTGTTGGGATGGCACTGCTGTCCACTTCCTGGCCTCCAGGACAAGAGCTTCGGCATCCACCAAGCCGAATCCGTAGAGATGGCTAACTGAAAAAACAGGGCCTTCAGAGCCAGCTCTTCCTGCTCTACCCCCACCCCCACCCCCAGGAAGAGAGCTGTCCCCAATTCTGTGATCTCAGGAGTACACAGCAGCTGGTGTCACCTCAAGGTCACCCTAAGGTGCTGATAGGTTCCCATGGTAGCTGGCCAGGGGTCCAGCTTCATTATCCTCTGAATTCTTTCAGCTCAGGAGGGATGGCTGGGACATATGTCCCACTCTGGGACAGAGTCTAGAACTTTCTTTTGAGAGGACAAGGTCGGGTCTCTTTTTGTTAGGAGGACCTGCAACATGTGTGTCCCTGAAATTCAGACTAGACAAGAGAAACAAGCCCAAAAGCCTCAGAACCCAGGGTGTTGGTATTGGGAACCTGCCTAGCCTGTACCAAGCCTTGGCTATGAGCTCCAGTACACACCTCCTAAAATCCAAGCACATGACTGTGCTGTGCAACAAATACAATAAAGACAAGGGCAACTGTTGTTTCAAAAATAATTTTCTGTTGGTACTGAGTCTCAGGACTTTCAGGACAACAGTATACTGTCAGGAGTGCTGGTGGAGCTGGCTGGATCCAGGATTTGACTTGGCCCAGAGAGAAGGTTTCAAAGCTTAATTCCAGGGCAAAGTCAAGACCTGATACAATCTATTTTCCTTTTTAATTAGACCAAGATGGAAATGGAGGGCAATGTTATGGGACACCACTAACAACTACAAACAAAGATCTATGAGGCCTAGTCAGTGACCTCTTTATTCAGAGGGGTGCCCCTTGTCATTCACAGTCACAAGGCCTGACCTATATGAACAGAAAGTGATATCAGGCTTGGAGTCATGGTAGTTGGATCTGAACTTCAAAAAAGGAGACAAGTTTTCTCTAATACATCATTGCCAACAGGAATGTTTTTCAAGCACTTCTTGTCAACTTCCTTCTCCGAGACCCCTGACTATGTCCTGACCATGGAGCCATGTTACCATACTGGTGTCTGGGACGAGGACCCAAATTCCATTAGTTATTCCTATAACATAGGGGCTGGCTGGCAGCAGGTTTAGAGATCAGAAGTAAATTACATAGCTATCTCAATGTCTTTTTTGCAGAGGTAGGAAAAGTGAAGGTGAGAACCAAAATGAAGAGAGCCTGGCTGTGGATTCATGGTCCTCCCACTGCAATCTCCCGAGTATTTGGATAGTAGGCAAATGTCTTCATGGCTTGCCCTAAAGTTGCCTTATAAGTCACAGTTCTTTGTGAAAAACAAAAAAAATTAAGGAGCAAATTGAAAAAGACTATTAAAAAAACCCTTGACATGGCAAAAGTTGTAGCATTTAGGGAACTGGACTCTGGGACACTGAGGTTGTCCCTTCATGCCAGTATGTGCTCTGGGAAACTATCCTTAAATCACTACAAGGTAGTTTAAATTCTTACAACCCATAGTCAATGGTAACAGTAAATGCTATCTGGGCCACCAGTGCCTCTCCCAACCCACCAGGAGCATTCGCACCTTTATGCCCGGCACCGTTGACTTTCCAGTCACTCGCCTTCAGATGAGCTGGCCGTGATGTCTTCACTAGCAGGTGCTGCACATCCCTCCAGGTTAGCTGGTTGCTGCAATGACATAGCAGAGGCCACCAAAGTCAGTGGTGTTGGCCAGGCAGGCCATTCCAAGGAGATACCAGCAGTCAGCCCAAGGCTCAGCTTGCATACCTCCACAGGGGTTCACTTTGCAGCAATGGTTCCCAGCAACTGAACCCTAGGCTTAAAGAGTTCAAAGGTTCTAAAATCTACAGGCATGAGAGACCTAGCCTGGCTGCCAAAGCCACTTAAGTTTGAATGTGGAGCTGGGCTCTGTCACCATGCGTAAGGGCATGCGAGCTGGGCTCTGTTCTAAGAGAAAGCACTGGCTGCAGACTGTAGGAATTCTAAATTTACACTTCCTTTCACTGTACATAGAAACATGTCATCCAAGAACACATGTACCCCCAGTGTCTATTCTAATCGCTCTGTTCCCAGCAATGAGCCCATGTTATACGGTCTGGGAGTGCTGAGCGTGGTGCCGGCTATTCTTATTATCACTTCCAAGTTCAAATACCTTTTAGGATAAAAGAACACTATCCTAATTGTACAACATCTAAGCAATATAAAAACATTAGCATTAGCAGCACTTGTGGTCTTTCTGGGAGCATTTTACATTTTGCAGTCCTGGGTTTGATGAAAAGAGTGCTTTTCATACTATCACCAAGTAGAGAAAAGCAGGAAATGAAACCCCTATTCCTGTCTTCTCTTATGCGTTAGTTATCATAGAATCTGGATATCTGAATGCATAAGCTTTAAATATAGTTCATGTAACAGCTACGTCAGACTCATCCAAAGTGTAGGAATAATTTTGCAATGTGAAGCTAACAGCTGAGTGAAAAGCTCGAAGTATACATTCATGGTTCTACCCATGGTCCCACCAAGAAATAATTATAATGTTTTATTAAATGGATCTGTATTTCAATTACCTCTCAATCAGAATGCCAGCCAAAGACAAATGAGCATCCTTCTTATTCCCTTCAAAGAAATAATTCCTTTCCAATCTATCTTTTCAGGACTTATTGAAATGAGAGTGATGAGGATAGTCCTCAGGTCTGTCCCAGGAGTTTGTTGGCTACATGATGTAAAATATTTGGGCATGGCAGTGAGGCCAGTACAAGGATGCTGAAGCCAGTCTTTCTGAAAGTTTATCACCAAGGTCCCAGAGAGCCATGAGCCTCAGATTTGGGAAAAGACTATGTCCAGAATGGGAGACATTATTTCCTTTATTTGCATTTATTTTATGCTGGCTTTCCATGTCATGAGATATCTTCCTCCTCTGTACCTTCCTCTTCAAGCTTAGGCACTGTTCCTTATATTGAGAATCATCTTCATGTGGCAGGGAAGCCCTGGGAGGGGCTGATGCAACCCTGAGCTCTGTGAGTGGGGTCTGCAGAGCATCACAGGCACTTTGCTCACCTGGAGGGTCTGCATCTGAAGCTCGTAGTTCAGCATGCTAGTTGCATGTTAGTTCAGCTCTAAGTTGCATGCATTATTACTCACGTGTGGCAAAACCTCAGCATGCCTTTTGGGGCCACCAATCTTGTGACCAGCCCAGTCCTACCAACTCCACTATCAACAGCATGAGGACATACACTGCTTCTGTGAAGTGACAGCTTTCAAATATACAGGGGCTTTTTAAAGATGACTATCCTTAAATGCCTGGGCACTTTGTTTTTCTCAGGTGAATCCCTCAACTTGCATGATTCTCTGGGGTCTTCTGGGTCACATGAGTTGCAAACCATTTCCACAGGTCATGCAGGCTGCTGCCAGGAAGAAGAGGCTAGGAACCATCTCATCAGGAGGAAAGAAACATTTTTTTTTTCCTTCTAGGGGATGTCTGAGAAATGGTGAGGAGCATTTAGTTTCTCCACCCTCCTTTCTTGTGCAAGGACTGAACTTGGAGCCTCACTCACTCTACCTCTAAACTACAGCCCTAGTCCCCAAAACACTTTTCAATGAAAACAGAGGTGGACAGCACCTTTGGAGTCTGCACCAAACTAGAGGGAATTGCTAGGTTGTCTGCCTGTGCCATTCTTATCACTTGCTATCCACAGGTCCTTGCATCCTCATTGGGAGTGTCTTCCTCTATCACAGTGATTCTCAACCTTCCAAATGCTGAGATCCTTTAATACTGTCCCTCATGCTGCGGTGACTCCCGACCAAAAAACTATTTTGCTACTACTTCATAAGTATAATTTTGCTATTGTTATGAATTGCAATTTAAATATCTGACATGTGACCCCTGTGGGAGTCACAACCCACACGTTGAGCACCACTGCTCTAGGACTTTCATTTATGACACTGAGAGATGGAAGAAGGCAATGCTGAGGTCCTGCTGCATGGGCCTGCCGGACACTGTGGTCTCCTAAATTCAGCTGAGTCCCTAGACGCCGCATGGTCCCTCCTGAACTAATCCTAACTCTAGAAAGTTCAAAGCAAATTCTCCCATACGTGAGGCTTGTTTGAATTGCACCTGCAAATCTCCAGGCTGTCACTAGTTTCTTCAGGTCCACAGGCATTCTTACTGGGACAACTGGTCATGAAGCATGGCATGTTTTCTATTTAGGTCTGACTAACAAAATTCCTTGCATGTTTCCAATAAGGAATGGAGGAAAATAGAGAGTGATGAATTGCTAAGTACGAGAATGGAACTTTTCCACACAAGTAACTAATTATTGCAGAGCCCCAGGACACAGAAGCTAACATTATTTTTTGGCCTGAAAATTGAAAATATTTAGCTGTTTTTGTTAAATTGGTAGCATTTGAGTGTTTTGGTCTTTAGCTCTGTGGAAATCAGCAGGCAAGCATGCATAATTTCAAGGATTTACACATCTCAAATATTCTCTCTGAATTATTTAAAAACTCGTCTAGAACAAAGAATTACTGCAAATGTCGGGCTGTTCTGTGACAGTTGATGTCTAAACTGTTTCTGCCTCTACAACTGCACATGAAGTGTTTTTGTTTGTATCCAATGGGGGAATGGCCCCATGGTTCCCAAATTTGAATACTTTGTCTCTGGCTGATGACATTGAGTTTTTTGGGGGGAAGGCTGTAGAACCTCTCATAGGGTGTGCCTATGAACAAGAAAGGAGGTTGTGGGGTGGACCTTGAAACTTAGGCCTGGTCTAAAAGTGTTCCTTGATCTGCTAAGGATGTCTTAGTTAGGGTTTTCTATTGCTGTGAAGACACACCATGAGCATGGCAACTCCTACAAAGGAAAACATTTAATCGTGGTGGCTGGCTTACAGTTCAGAGTTTCAGTCCATTATCACCATGGTGGGACATGGCAGTGTGCAGGAAGACATGGTGCTGGAGAGGTAGCTGAGTGTCCTATGTCTTACAGGTAACAGGAAGTGGTCTGTCTCACTGGGAGTAGCTTGAGCAAAGGAAACTTTCAAGCTCACCCCTACAATGACACACTTCCTCCAACAAGGCCATACCTACTCCAACAAAGCCACACCTCCTAATAGTGCCACTCCTTTTGGGGGCTATTTTCTTTCAAACTGCCACAACCAAGAAGTAACAAGCTGGGCCGTTGGCTGTTGTCACCACAGACAGAGCCCAAATTGCTATACCTTCCCCACCGTGATGAACTGTATCTCTTCAAACTATGAGCCAAAAATGAATTTCTTATTACATTAACAAAGAAGTGGTTCATGCACGAAGTTAACCCTTGTCTGTCTGACCCATTTTATAACTCTAGGTTATGTGGGACTCAGATATGCAAAGTGGTACTTAGTCATTGTCGGTTTCTGAACCAAGATTCAAGGAAAGAAGCTGTGAGAGCCTAGCACACAGTTTGGGTGCATGGTTATGAATGGAGAGCTCCGGCCCATGTAGCTCCTGGGAGAAGACAGGCAGTAGGCTTTATGAAGAGAAGAAACCACTTGGAGAATGGCCTAAAAAGGAAGGGAATTCTGACACAGACCACAACATAGATAACCACCCATGGCATCATGTTGAATGAAATACACCAACCACAAAGGGCAGAACAGGCAAAGGAGGTATCCTTAACCAAAATGCAAAAGAAAAAAAAAAGCTATTACAGGTTTTAAACAGAGTATCTGCACAGACTTCATGAGTTGAACATCTTTAATCTGAAAATCCAAGATTCTTCCAGACCTGAAACTTTCTGAGCATGATATCAGCACGAAAAACCTTTCAGATTTTGGAGCATTTGGATCCAGGGTTTTAGGATTGAAGATGCTTGGTGTGAACTGTATGGTTTTGTAACATAAATAAGGTTCTTATGGCCATCAAGTTCAAAGACAGGAGGCAGCATGGTGGCTGTCAGGGGCTGAAGGAGAGGGAGTGTCATGACCTGAACCGTGGCATGAGTTGAAGTCCTAGGCCTTGCCCTGCTCCTCAGAATGTGACTGTATTTCAAAATAGGACTTACCAAAAAGAAAAAAAAAGATAATTCAGGTAAATAAGGTTATCAGCATGAGCCAATTGGAAGCCAAGGAGACGCCAACCCTGCTATTGCCTCAATCCAGGCAGGGACTTTGAGGGCACACATTTCTATTGTATGAGCAACCTTCTATGGCACCCTGGGCTGATCAATTCAGAGAGTTACTGTTTAATAGGAACAAAACTTCAGTTTGGGAAGATGACAAAATTCTGGTGGATGTGACAGTGATGGGTAAATGGCAATGAAAATGGGAACATACAGCCGTGCTTGTCATTTAAAATTCTCAGGATGCTAGGTCTCATGTTAGGTGTGTTCCACCAGCGTATAAACACCTTTTCAAAGGAAAAGAAGGGAGGTTGAAACTTACTTTGCTTCCAGAGCCAAGGCAATGATGCCAGCCACCATGGGGGCCGAGACTGAGGTCCCAGTGTGACCATCGGTGCAGCGCTGACGCAGATCCGTGGTGACCTGCATGAAAGGGAGACATGTGAAGCAGGGCACTGGGGAGGCTGGTTCCTCCTGAGAGAAGAGAGGCCCTCCGCAGGCTGCCAACTGGAGAGAGTGATCTTGGGTGCCAGTGGCAGAAAAGGCATGCTGTCTGGCTCTTCTGGTGTTCGCTCAGGTGCAAAACTGAGGTGAGAACAGAGACAGGAAGACAGGCATCTAGAAGCACAGGGTGTGCTTTCAGAAGGGATCAGCTCCGCTGGTTCCTGAAGCCCACAGAAGCCAGTGTAGACAAACAGTCAGGCAAGATGAAATGGACCCTCTGCTGACCCTTCTTCCTGGGGTCACTGTGCTCCTGCACTAAAATGCATGAAACCTGATCCCCCCACTGCAGAGCTAAGCTCAGTGACTCAGGACTTCAGGGGAGCAGAAACCTTCCCTGCAAAGTGCTCAGGAGCCCAGATAGTGTTTCTACCTTAAGCTGCAAGGTAAGGATTGGGATGGTGGACATCCCTCCCTGAGGAACCTGAAGTGCCCTTGTCATCACAAGGCCTGCTGAGCAGGACAACAGGGCTGCTGGTCTTTTGGGGAAGGTGAGGCTGGCTCTGCTAGCTGGGATTCCTCTGCCTGTCCTCACCTAAGGTGATGGCTCCAGGAGGGTGGGGCACTGACTCACAACATCACAACTGCTCAACCTGACTTGCACATCCCTGGGACGTCACGGGGGCAGAGGCTGTGGGATCAACACACTGAGTTCAGTTGGGATCATGACCCTTGCGACTTGTGCTCCTAGTTTGAATTCCATGCCCTTTGCAGATGGAATCAAGGCTGCTAACCTTAAATCAGAGGGATTCTTCTGGATTTTCCAGCTGGGCCTGATAGAATCAGAAGGCTTTAGGGGTGGAAGAAGAAAGCAGAAAAACCTGTTGGAGAGGTGAGGAATGATAGACTCCAGCCATCAAGGCTGGCTTCAGAGAGGGAACTGGAGAGACTGAGACCAAGGGTATAGGGAAAGAGGGGCTCTAAAACCAAGAATACCAGATGGTATTCAACAGCCCACAAGGGAACGGGGACCTCAGTCCTACACGGACAGGAGGCTGAGACATGTCTAGTCTGCATAAGCAAGGACCTCCCCAGAGATGCCAGAGAGCCCTTCGGACATGCTGACTTCAGCCTGTGCATCTGGAGCTGAGAGCCAAATAGGTCACCCGGCTTCTGAGCTGCAAGGTGGGGGGATGTCAGTCGGTGCCACCTTAGGATGCTATGTTTATGATGACATATTAGGACAGCAACAGGAAACTAGCTCACCCACCCATCTGCTGCAAAGCTCATGCAGCCATTTTATGGAACCCTTGAGAATGAATTTTTCCAGCACTAATATTGGATTCTTCCACACAGACCCATGTCCTCTGGTCATGTTGTAGCTGGGCTCACAACACCCCCGGGGAAGGTATCTAGCCTGGGTCATACATTCATCGGGGAGGATCTGACAGGTATTTTACTAGAAACAAACTTACCTGCTGCACACTCAGTAGGACTAAAGCACCTCAAGGAAAGACAGAAGGGCCAGCCCAGGAAGGACTTCTGTGTCCCCAGCCCTTCTGATGCTCCCACACAGGTCACAGCAGGGTGCCTACTCCTGCTCCTCACCTTTGGGTGGGAGCCCAGCAACTGTGAGCAAGCAAGGTCCAGGGCTGGTTCTCCACCACAGGGCAGAGGATTTAGGAAGGGAACGGAGACTAGCCAAACTGGAGGGAGCCAAAGCAAGGTGGGCAGAGCCCTCCCACATTTGAGGGTCCTGCTTGGAACACTGCTCACATTGGATGAACTGACCCTCATTTTTAGCCTCCAAGGCAAGAGGTAAAGGCTTTAGTTCTCTGATGGAGAGCCGTGTCTGTTCATGAGGAATCCCCCACTCCTGGTGGACTCTGCAGGGAGGAAGCATGCAGGGGGCAGAGGTTTGACTGACACTAGAGCTCACCTGAACTCAAGGCTGTGAAGCACGGGCTATCTTTTTAAAGCTTGCTCAGCCCCTTTACAGGGCATCTATGGGGCATCAAGCATAACTTAGGCTCCAGTTATGGGACAAAAATGCCCAGAGCAGAGTTTCAGGTCAGCAACTCTGACACTCAATCCTATCTTTTCCTCTTTCCCAACCATATCTTTCTTATCCACAAGTATTGCTCAGAGGAGGGGGAATTATTTTAAAAGAAGAAATTCAAGAGAGATGCCACATGCCTGTCACATCAGCATTTGTGAGGCGAAGGCAAGAGGATCAGGAGTTCAAGGATAACCTCTACTATACAGTAAGTTCAAATACAGTCTGGGCTGCATAAGCCCATCTTGGAAACAAAGGCAGGGAGGGAGAAAAGGGATTAAAGTGTCTTCTCGATAGATATGTGCACATTTAAGCACCACAGTAAGTAAATGAAGTCACAAATCCTATTTCTGGAGCTGAGTGCCATCACCGAGGAAGCAGCCCTAGTACAATGTGTCCAATAATGCCAACCTCAACTTGTCCTTGGTTAGCCAGGAGGCCTTTGCTGGGTTTCATCAAAAACATCTGTTTAATAAAGCGTTAACAAGTCCGTGCTCAAATAAGGAGGAAGAGGAAACAAATAGGACATGGTGAGGAGTCTTGGCTGCCCATGCCAGGGCTGGGTGATGCTGCAGATGGGAGAGCAAGACCTTAATGCCTCTGCGAAGCAGCCTGGGCCGCTGCCCGGCCTACAATGGGATGATGGTGGCTGGCCTTCAGTATGAGCACAGCAAGTAGAGAACAGGAAGCCTGTGTGCTCCCCAGAAAAAAATGTAAAAATAAATTGGAAAATAATTTGTATCTTAGCAGAGGGAGGGATGAAAAGACACTGGTGAGAGCTAAAATCGAACCGTGTCTGGGCAGCTCCAGAGGCTCATTTTTAAAATGTCTACACACTAACTTAATGACTCTGCATTTGAATTCTTCATTAATTTAGACTGGAAACCTTCCCCCACACTGCTCGCTCCTTTTTTTTTTTTTTCAAATATAGGAAAGTATATACAGAAGGCAGAAGCATAAATCCCAGCCATATACTTAAACAGTTCCCATTTGAGAGAGAAACCAGGGGCTGGGAATGTGGCTCAGTGGTGGTGTCCCTGCCTACAGCAGGTTTAAGTACCACAAAAAAAGAAAAAAAAGAAAACTAGCACTCTGTTCACTGCAGTTAGCAGAGCTGGCAAAAGCTGTGGCTTTACTTCCAAGTGTCTAGGGCACGTCCCTTGGCCGAAGAGAAGCCTAGAATGCTCAGGTTTCCAGAATGTTTCAGCATAAAACCGAGACTTTCTATTTTAAGCATCAGAACAGAACTGGTCAACTGGACTCTGGGATGTGACCACAGAATACCAGAGAGCTAAAAGGAGATATGACAAAGATGAACCCCCTTCTTAAATGACATTTTTAGGTCTCTAAAGTCACAGAGGGTTTCATTGGCATTTCTGGGCACAGATAAGTAGAGCATCTTATAAATTAGTAAAGTCTGAGGCGGGCTGCCAAAGCACTGGGATTGACCTTAGGCTCAGCCTGCTCACAGATGGATGAGGAAGGGAACTGAGACCCAACATATCTGGTCTTGGCCCAACTTGCCCTGGGTAAAAGGAAGCCTTCAAGCTTAGAAGAGAACTCACAATCTTCCGTTCATAGAAGGCCCCACTGCTGTAGGTGGTAGCCAAGGTGGAGGCGCACTCCTCCAGGTACCAGGGTTTGTGGCCGTTCTCAGTGGTGCTGCTCACAGAGATGGTGTAGATGCTGTTGGTGTAACCGTCACAGGAGCAGTGGTCCCCTTCTCTCCCTCCGTTCCCAGAGGCCCAGACAAAAATGGAGCCCAGACCTTGGCGGCCCTGTGTGGAAGCAAAAAGAACAGGGTGTCAGCAACTGTGGTGGGACCCCATGGAGAGCATTTCTCACCAATCTGCAGCCCCACCTTCAGCATGTTCCTCCACAGGGCTGTGATGGTGCACTGAAACCATGGAGGTCCGGCCCAAGGGTTCCATGTGGGTTTCTGGGGAGTCATTTTGCCTATGGTAACAGTATCTTACACAGATGGTCAGGATCCTGTCAGAGAAGGGCCAAAAGACCCCCCTGTCTGTCACAGGAAGCTCCAGACCCCAATGCTGCTCCAGTTGAGACAGGCCTCTAATTTCCATTGCAGTAGCTGAGGACCAAGGGAACTCAGCATAAGACCAAGATTAGAGACAGACACTGGTGGGATTTGGAGCTGTTTCAGTTTATGGGTCAAAGGAGCTGGTTTTGAGAGGGAAGAACAGGAAATTTCCTGAAAATACAGTTGCAGAGGTAAGCTTCTCAGAGGTCCAGCTAATTTTTCAAAGAGGGGTGAAGGGTAAGGGTTGAAAGGTGAAGGGTGAGACTCGAAGAGGTGAAGAATGAGAGGTGAAGGGTGAGGGGTGAAGGGTGAGGGGTGAGGGGTGAAGGGTGAGGAGTGAGAGGTGAAGGGTAAAGGGTAAAAGGTAAAGGGTAAAGGGTTAGGGGGTGAGACTGACTTCTGCGTTCAACTGTTAGATAAACATGATCATGGTCCAGAACACTGCTATATGCCCACAGAAGTCCCATTACAGTTCCTAGAGGTGGCTGCCACGGACAAATGGATACATGTTAAAGCAGTCAAGCCAGATGTCAACACCAGCCCAGGCTGCTGGCGTCACTAGTTCATCGGGAACATGAAAGAGAGAAAGCACATGACCGTGGCGGGTCAGGCAGGTTCCTGCAGCTCTGTTCTATACTATGCCCATGGGATCAATGGTTTCTGACCAAACTTTGTGTCGTCCCAGCTATAAACACTAGTTAATGGTTAGCTCATGGAAGACTCTATTGAGTCAGTCTCAACAGCTGGACCCACTGAGGGTGCACACCATGAAGTGGACCTCCCAGGCTCTTAACTGAGAACCCTCCCTTCCAAACTTAGGGAGGGGACTGGCCCCAAATCTGAGCAACTGGTCAGTTTAAAGATAGCTCTCAAGTGTATTCTATGACCTGATGCATGTATCTCTCCTCAGAGTTCAGGGCTTTCCTTGGGGAGTGGACCTACCTGCTCTGGAAGCCTGTGACGCTCTATTTTACAGACTAAAGAGACTGGTTCTAGGCTGAGGCTCCCAACAAAACCCACAGGGAGGTTCCTGTTGTCCCCTGACCCTGCTATGTCAGGATGGCCAGTTCATCCTGCTTTCTCCATCTCCAAGAAGGGCTTTACCGAATGCCTAAGTGTTTACCACAAAGGTTACCTAGACTTAGCAACAAAGAGTAACTTCTAGGGTTGGAGAGATGGCTCAGCAGCAGTTTAAAGCACTTGATGCTCTTGCAGAGGACCTGGGTTCTATTCCCAGCACCCACTTGATGGCTCACAATCATCCATAACTCCAGTTCCAGGGGATCTGATGCCCTCTCTGACCAGTGCGGGCACCAGATGTGCATATGGTATATAAACATGCATGTGGGAAAAACACTAATATACCCCAAAAATAAATCTAAAAGAACTTCTAAGAAATAGGTTAACTTCTAAAAGAAAGGCACTAAATAAGGAAATGGGTATGCCGTGTGAATTGGGTCATGCCCTGTGTCAGGATGCGTCAATCAGCAGTGGCTCACACAGGTGCAGAGGAGCTAGGTGTGTGGAAGGCATTCGTGCCATCCAAGTGTGGGTAACTCAGTGCTCCATCATGAGGTTTGCATCTTGATGAAATTGCTTAGTGATGGCTTTCTCAGAGGACGTCCTCATCATTAAGCAAAGCAAGACTACAATTACCTGTTGGAAAAGATTAACCAGAAGCCAGTTCAAAGTGACTAAAATCCAAATAAAAAGGCATATAGTCCACCAGAATCTATCCATTCCATGTAAGAATCATCCCCAGGATACTGTCACTCTCAACTCCATACCCAATGCAGAACTGTTTATAAAATGTTCTTATTTTGTAAAATTTAACAATCTTATTATTCCAGAAGTGTAGGGGACAACTTAAAATAGTGCTCCTCACTCTTGAATATGTTGTGTGCACTCTGAACCACAAGGGAATCTTGTTACAAATGTCTTTGGGCCCAGCAGGTCTGGGGACGCCTGTCAGTTAGCTGTCCAGCACTGTAACAGATATGTGAGGTAAATCAAATTACCAAGAAAAATAAAAGAATTTATTTGGCTCATAGTTTTGTAGGTTGCAACCCATGACTGGCAGTACCCATTGTTTTAGACTTTAGTCACAGTGTCACAATAGAGACTCATGGCACAGAAAGGTTACTTGCCACATGATGGGGATGGGGGCACTGGGTCCCACAATCCCCTTCAAGGTGTGCTGGCAATGACCAGCTGATCTCCCACTAGGCTCCACCTCTTCCAGTTTCCTCCATCTCCCAGCAGCACCATGTTCATGGACTTGAAATTCTGCATGCCTAAGAATTGTCAGCCCATACCACACTGCTGATCCTAGCCGTCTACCTGACACAGGGCATTTACGGCCCAACCATCTAACTTCCCACAGGCACCGAAGTATCTACGGCCTCTTTCTTGTCTTGCTGTGGTTTTCTAGAGAGACAGAACTCAGAGGGAGGCAGAGAGCACAGCTAGGTTTGGGCTGTGAAGAGATAGGCCTTGGCCGTCCCTGGAGGTTTTAGGTTCCCTTTCCACATCTTGTGTCTACACTGGAGCTGGAGTGGGGGTGTTCCAACTCCCACCATGCTAGCATTTCTGTTTAGGTAAGCCACAACTTGAACTCCAAATGGCACTGGCATCCTCTCAGGGGGCAGGCAGTCAGGTACACCCTCCTGAGGGCTGGTGAACTCCGGGCATCTGGAGAAGGCCAGCTGTTCTTTATCAGTCTTTATTCCCCTTTCTGAGCGAACACTCAGGTGAGAAGTGCAGTATCAAATAGATCCCTTTGCCCAACAATGGCTTCTAAAGTCCCCTGCCACTCCACCACATCATCTACCGAAGACAAAGCCACATTTTACAGAAAAAGATAACAGGTCACAAATAGAGCAGCATGGAGGAGAAACAGATGGGGCCATGTGCTTTGGTTGGAGGTCGTCTCATTTCTGAGAGTACTCTCCCTGGCATCTCTAGACAGCTGTGATTTAAGGGCCGGTATAACGTATTTTACTTCAGAATAACTAAGATTTAAATGGTCTCCATATTTTAAGAAAACAGGACAAGAATGGGAGGGGGGGGGCTGCGTAGTTCCCTCTACATATCCTGTTACCCCGACAACCTGATGAAGCAGCTGCTCAGGGTTCAGAATGCAACGTTCCCTTCTTTGTAACTCCAGCTTGTGTAAGCTCAGTACACAAACCTAAAGGCACTGCAAGTGACCCCTTGAAAACCGACATCTCCTCTCCTGGAAGCAGAGCTCCCAGCCACATCTTTAGACAGCATCTCATAGAAATGCCAGATGTTCGGCATTAGCACCATTCCAACCCATGCCTTTTGTGCAGAAAACGGGACCTCTGGCTTAAGTCAGCCTCTCCGAAGCTGCAGCTCAGCTTAATTTTTAGGATGTTTCACTTGTCATCGAGTCTGAGATCTGAGTGATCTAACCGTGGGAGGGGAGTTGAGTCATGGAAACAAGTGATTTATTTATTCAGCAATCTCTGGTGGGGCAGAGGCTTACTTGGTCATGCTTGGATCTGCCAGCACTCCCCTAGCCCAGCACGTGGCCCAGCACACGGCCCAGCACATGGCTCGGCCCAGGTGCTCAGCAGAATAATGGAAGCTGCCTCTGCAGCATGGTGCAGTGAAACTGTTCCAATGTGAGCACAGGTCTTATGCTGTCTGTGTCTGTACTCTGCCTCTTTTACTTCTTTCCCTCTGACAGTTGAACACTGCTCTGTTTTCTGGTTGTTGGTTTTTCAGGCACTGTGACCCTGGGTGGCCTGGTGAAACGGCACTAAAAGAAGGATGGTGTCCCTTGTACTGTGGGGGTTTGCGGACCAGATGTGCCTGGAAGGAGGTGAAGTCATAGTACACCCCTTAACTGAGAAGTGTAGAGAAATGAAGGCACTCCAGGGATTCAGCGTGGTTGGAGGTGGCAAGGCAGGAGGATATCCTCTGGCAAAACTCTTGTTGCCATTGAAAAGATAACACACAGCGACCAACTAGATACATCCAAGAAAAAAATCAAGAGGCAATCAGAAAAAGAGCCCTGAGCAGAGTTTAAGAAGACTGGGGCTGGGAACATGGCTCCAGTCAATAAAATACTCACCACTCAAGCAAGAGGACCCAAGCGTGATTGCCAGAGACCACTTGTAAAAAGAAATAAAGAAGAAAGGAAAAGCTGGTGAATGGCACACAGGATCCCAATGCTGGGAGAGAGACAGACTTGCTGGCCAGCCAGACTAGCCAATCAGCAAGCTCCAAGTTCGGTGAGCCCCATGAGAAACTGTATTTCAAAAAATAATGTGGTGGTGCATACCTTTAATGCCAGCACTTGGGAGGCATAGAAGATTTCAGAGAGTTTGAGGGCAGCCTGAACAACATAATGAGATGCTAGCCAACCAGGGTTGCCATGTAAGACCCTGACTCAAAGATAAATAAATAGGGACTAAAGAGATGTCTCAGCAGATAAGAGTACTTTCTGCTCTTGTAAAGGACCCAGGTTTAGTTCCCAGCATCCATGCTGAGGTTTGCATTCATCTATAACTCTAGATCCATGGGATTCAATGCCTTCTTTTGGCTTCTGGACACTAGCATGTACATAGTACGCACATATACTTACAGGTAAAACACTCATGCACATAAAATAAAAATAAAATCTTTAAACAAGAGAAATAAAGTGAAGAACACTAAAGAAGAAACTTGATGTTGACCTCTGGCACAACACACACACACACACACACACACACACACACACACACACACCACACACAACACACACAGTTTGTTGAGAAGATTGTTCCTCTTTTTTTTTTTTTTTTTTTTTTTTTGAGACAGGGTTTCTCTGTGTAGTCCTAGCTGTCTTGTAACTTGTTCTGTAGACCAGGCTGGCTCTGTAGACCAGGCTGGCCTCAAACTCAGAGATCCACCTGCCTCTACCTCCCAAGTGCTGGGATTAAAGCTGTGCACTGCCACACCTGACACTTTTGGATGTATTTATTCACTATTAACTACATATGAATTGCTATGTATGGGTTACAATATAATAAAAAAATTTAAATGTTTTAAATTATATAAATAATAAAATGGGCTCAATCCCTGTACCTCTTCTTTCCTGTTTTCCACAGGAAACAGAAATGTCTGGGCTTCCTGACAGACCCTGGCCCACATCCCACCCCCACCAGCATTCATTAGCCACACCTATGCTGTGGTCTGGGGTTTATTGGGCCACCCAGAGCCTCCTGGATGGTGACCATAACTGCATCTGACTACTCCAAGAAACTGTGTTCACCTGGAAATCTGTCTTGGCCCTGGTTGTAAAGACTGATTCATCTCCAGCTACCTCTTCCTAAACTCATCTCTCCCGAGTCCCCTGTCCACCAGCCCACACTGACAATGGGTGACAGACAGAGGCTTGAGGGTAGGCCTCCTGGGACGAGCCTACCACCCTCCCAGTTGAGGAGTAATCAATCTTTTCTATGTTCCCAGAGGTTTGCCTATGAAGCTGTAGCTGGGTTGGGCTGTGTGGTGGTATGGGTGGGAGTGTCTAGGTGACAGCTCCCTGCTGCAATAAGGCTTTGATTAGTCACACCCTATGATAGACAGAAAGCTCCACTCATTATTTCACCTGCATAGCTCAAGGAGTAGGCCTGGAGATCTGATTGAGCTGACTCTCACCACCTGCAAAGGTCTCATCAGACTCCAGTGGAGTAGTCAGGGATGGTGGGCGCTAGGCTAGCTCTCCCTGGACCAGCTATAGTATTCCACCTGAGCTCGTATATACCATTCCCCAGAGTCCTTGAGAGATTTCTCCTTCATTCTGGCAGTGCAGGGCTTTCCTGCCAGTCTTGTTTCAGGCCATGGCTGATGTCACTCTGATATTTAAATGGTGAGAACGTGCAGGCACCCCCACCCTGGGTGCTCCCCTGAAGTTCTGGGTTACTCATACCTTTTTAATGCCATACTCGAAAGCCTGTTTAGCCAGACGGCCAGGCCCGTCCACTGTCTTCCCGTCGTCATCTGGCCCCCAACTGGCGCTGTAAATGTCAATGTAGTTGGGTCTGATGCCCAAGGACTTGGCCTCAACCACATCAGTCACATCACCGTCCAGCATCCGGATGCCTGGAAGCATAGGGGGAGGCTCACTGTCAGTGCTGGGGAGTCTGAGCATACAGTGAAGGACCCCAAGACCAAGAAGTCTGCAATGCCCAGGAGACTCAGGAGGTTTATGCCAGGACACCATGCCACTAGGCTCCCAGAAGGTGTTCGTGCTCGCTGGCTTTATGCCATTTTGATACAAGCTATAGTCATTTTGGAAGAGGAACACTCAATTGAGAAAATGCCCCCACCAGACCAGCCTGTGGACAAGCCCCTGGGTCATTTTCTTGATCAATGATTGATGTTGGAGGGCCCAGCCCACTGCTAGGGATGCCACCCCTGGGCAGGTGATCCTGGGTGTATAAAACAGCAGGTTCAGTAAACAATGGTTGCCTTTGATGAGCAAGCCAGTGAGCAGTATTCCTCCATGGTCCCTGCATAAGTTCCTGCCTCAAGGCTCCTGCCCTGCTTGAGTTCCTTCCCTGACTTCCCTTAGTGATAGATACACCTGAGGAATAAACTCTTTCCTCCCCACGATGCTTTTGGTTATGGTGTTTTAATAACCATCAAACTTAGACAGTTTCTATTCCAACTAGTCCTGAAACATTCTGGTCTGAGGGTGGAAGGGCCCATCTGGTCTGAACTGGTTTGGGGTACCTATGCAGTCAGACAAAACTATTTCTTCAAGTGAACTTTGAGGGAGAATTTTCTATTTACCATCTTATGCCTATGCATAATCAAGACTGCATACAATTAATGCTCAGAGACCAAAGGCCTGGGTAAACTAAGCCTGCCAATCCAAACAGAAACCCCTCATTACACCCTTAGTAACCAACTCTTCCTTCTCTTTAACCCCATAAAAGGTAGCCCCCTGAGTACTCCCACTCACATGGCCCACTGACAGTCTTGATACCATGTTTCTTTCTAATTGTACTATAGTTTTGCTTTATTAGTTTCCTTGATACTGTACAAGCTGTGTGGGCTTTTAGTTCATTTTGAATGAGAAGCCAAGAAACACCAATAATACCTCCTTGAGGGTCTCCAGGGCGTGCTGGAACTGGGCTGTGTGTGTGTGAGGGCCATACCTTCCATGGAAACATATTCTACATCTTAGAACTACTTAAGATGTCATAGAAAAGCACATCTTATACTCTTTGATGGAAGCTAAATAAACACAGAAATAACCAATGATAGTACTTTGGTCAGTTTCTTCTAATATTTTTCTTTGCCTGAAGCATACACTTTCATCCCAAATCTTTTCCTTTTTAAAAAACTGAACTTCATGTGAACTGCTCCCCTGTGTGATTAAGGATATTTTCAAAGCATGGTTATTAATGGTCATGCACTCTGACCCTGTACACGCCAGACCCAGGCAGCCCTTCCTCTGCGGCTCACCTCATCATGGAGGGGCTCTGTACCTTTCCCGTACTAGGCCTCCATTGGATCTCCAGGCACTGAAATTCTGACTATAACAGACATTCATTCACAGATAGAGAGACAGATGAGTCACTTCTGTGTCCATGAGTTCTGTACCCACAGACTCAACCCAAAACACAGCTAAAGAATACCTAGGAGCAGCCCCCTCACAAAGCCCAATTGTTTTCTGTATTGTACTGGGATAGACTTTTTTTTCAATAAACAACTATACACAGTGTTAATACTGTATTATATATTATGCATTATCTAGAGACAATTTCATGTATACAGGAGGATGTGCGCAGGCTCTTTGCAAATGCTACATCATTTCATATAAAGGACTTTAGCCCGAGCACTTTGTTATCTCTGTGGGTTCTGGTGCCAGTCCCTGTGGACACCTTAGGTCTACTGTAGAACCTCACACTGAAGTCTGGAGCTGGTTCCCAGTGCAAGCAGGAGCAGCCACAAGAAGCAGAGGTCGCAGGGACAAACACCTCATGTGAATTAAGCCCCATTGTCCTACTTCACTGTACTCATGGACATCCTGATGTCACTCTGCTTCTGATGACTAGCTGCCAAGCCCAGAACCTTAATATATGCCTCCAATTTTCTTGCCTTACATCTTCTTGCTTAGGAGCACACGGGTTACAAATAACTCGATATACTTTATCATTTACCAAGGTGAGACATTCTTCCCTGTGTGGAATTGAAAGATTTAGTAATCCTTCTCTTTAACCAGTTTTTAAAGGTCAGGTTCCTCTAAGGTTTTCTCTGTACCATCTGCCCTGAAGTTCCCAAGCCATAAGCAAGAGGGTCAATGCAGGCATCATTGTGGGGGATCCTTGGGAGGTTGTATAGTGTAGTTGGCAATGCAGTAAGGGCAGGATGGCTGCTCTGGGGTACAGTAGCATGGCCTTATACTTAAGTGGGACACCGGGATTAACTGAAAACATCTGCTCTGAAGGTATGGGAATTCTACTCAAAATCAGTGTCAGAGAGAATTACTGATGATGATGATAATAATAATAATAATAACAGCAAGACTCAGGTGCTGAGGATCTCAGAAGTCCAACAGTGGTACCCAGAGCCACCTAAGATGTCAGTCAGGTGGTACAGGCAACAATGGGGGATCAGGACGGAGTCACATCACAGGAAAAGCCTGTCCATCAAAGCTTGAAGGCCTCCAAAATGAGCAGCAGGGATGGATTTCAGCTTAGCACCATCTGCCTTCTCTTTGGCTCTCCATCTACTTCCTTCTACCCATTATGCTACAGCTACCTGAAACACCATGACCAGCCATGCACAGAGACTTAGACATCACGACACCATGCCACCTGCTCCTGGGAGGGGAGGCCCTCATTGCAGCATGCCTGCCCTGGCCAGCAGACACAAGGATGTGCCATGGCTGGGAGCCCTGCTCTGGCTGCCAGCTGTGACCAGATAGGGATCCCAGAAGTTCTTTCATGGTACAAGTCTTGGTTTTCTGTCTAAGGCTGTGTTGGAAGTCATCTGTTCTATGGGTTGCCAAATGAAGGAAAAAGTTCTGGCACACAGGAAGCACTTAATATGCTTGACTTGATGCCACTGAGCTTCAGTTTTCCTACCTGTAAAAAATGGGCATAATTTCAATAACTTCTTTCCTGATTTTCTAAAGACACACCAATGCTGTCTATGCAGGGGAACATTTGCAAACCTGCTAATTATAAAGCCTAAGGAAACAATGGCTCCTATTAGCCTTCCATGTAATGCAAGCAAGAGGGTGAGACACAGAGAGTGGGTGGTCCTACACATGTTTACTTTTCTCACCCTGCTACTTGAAGGAAATTGCTTAGAATTTTGGGTTATTCATTCCCCTGTCTTTTAAACATTATGGTCTTATAACTGTGTATATATTTACATAGCATAGTATTCACTCTTGCCCATCCTGGGAATTAATCCCTTGTGGATTATATAAAGTTTCTTATCTTGTATTCATCACTAAGCCATGCCCCTTAATGCTAAATGCTCATTTCCTTTTGAAGTTCCTAGTCATTATGAAGCCCAAGCCTCCCCTGGGCTTGTGGACATCTATCCATTCTTTCATAGGCAGGGCAGAGCCCCCCCCCCCACCAAACATCCCAGTAGGGCACACATGCACTGTGACACTGGCTCATTGTATTTTCTCCTTTTGGGGTTCTGGGTAGAAGAATTGTGATGGCCATGAGGTACCATTCTTCTCCAGGCTCTGGTCTGCACACCCAACATTTCTTAGTCCCATGGTGGTTTAGGTTCCCGAGTGTACCTGCCCTCAGTGGGGATTTAATGAGGTCTCATAGAACCCTGCTTAGTTCTCAAGAGAGGAGACTGTGACAAAAGAGAAGGACTACCATTGAATTGCTCTTCGGCTTCTACTCTTCTCCGCCTTCTGTTCTTCCTCCTTCAGTCCCTTCCTCTTGCAGATGCTCCTGCTGTGATTCTATCTGCTGCCATGTGATTGATATAGCCAAGGGGAACCCTACAGAGCCAGCACTGTGCTGACCCAACTGCAAGCCTCCAAAACTGAGAGCTAAAGAAAACCCCTGTTTATAAGTTACTCATCCTCAGATATTTTGTTACAGCAATGGAAAATAAACCAGTATGTCCTGGTTCTCAGTGCTGCTGCATAAATGGAAGACTAATCCTTGTGCCTTTAAAGTTAGCAGCAGACTCTCTAGGTCAAGAGAGCTCACTGGTCACAAGGGTGGCCAAAGCCAAGTCTGTGGTTCTAGTGCTGACATGGAACCTGCTATTCTAAGGCTTTTCATACCAGTTATAGATGGTGAGATGCCTATTTCTAAATGAGAAGAATGGGATGCCAGGAGCCATCCAAAAATACACAAGAACACACAGGCAGAGTGGTTCCCAACAGCTCTCACAATGCTCTCCATCTTGAAGGGGTTGACTGGCGGGTGAGAAGGAAGTGTTGAGTGCTGAGTTTTTAACAGTGCATCCATTTCCCCAGCACTGACAGTTGCCAACAGAAAAAAGGTAAATATTTTCAGTAGAAACCTGCTGTTCCACCATTAGCTTCAAACGTGAATGGCTCTCTGCAAATGCCAGGGGGGTGGGGGTGGGGTGGGGAAACAGCCATCATTTCTCTAATGAAATAAAGAAAGGCCCATTTACTACAAATTGCTAAGGACAAAAATAACCTGGACAGATCATTTGGACGGCAAATTAACTCCTGCTGTTAGCTTGCTACTGGGTTGCTTTCCTGCGGGTGGGGTCAGAGCACATGACTGCACATAAACACAGTTGACCCCTCTACTCTGACGGTGAGTCTGGGGGTTCCACGTAGAGGAGTAGGTAGATAAGGTGGTTGAGCCTGGGCAACTACGTGTGTGAGTGGAAAAGGAGACTGCTATTGAGAGTCAAGACAATTCCAGCTGCCCCTACAAGTCCATCCTGGGGAGCATTGGACAGGCCTGTGTCCCTTCAATAATGCACACAGTCCCATTAGATTGCCTAAACCTAGCAGTTTAAATGCCCCAGGGAAACCTGGCTGAAATCAATGATTCTAGATGTCTCTTAGTAAAAGTTAAAAGAAAACGCCAGTTTTCTCATAGCGATCCATCCTTCTTCCCTGTTTC